TATTAAATAATGTTTAAAACAAGACCATCACGTACAGAGAAGTGGCAGTTCCTACTTCCTTCACCCCAGTAAATGCTGAAATAGTAAATTACTCAGCGGAGGTAAGTATAAAAACCTCCGTGCTGTGTTGATTAGCCATCCCATCCCTTTAAAAGCCAGATGAGGGAATAATTATTACGGTAGGCAACTGGCATTTATATGGATTTGCACTTACTCCCTTTTTATTTATACTAATCGTATTGAGTACAAGGAATACAGTTTATGTCAGGTACGATCAACTCAATATGCATCTCTCTCTACTCTGACAATATCTCAGTTATAGTCTTAACAGTCGTAGATTAACTTAGCCACAGACTGCATATCAATATGGGAGATACTTTTCTAAAACAGCTGGAGAGCTGCCTACTCCACCCAGCTTGATTTATAAATAAAAAAGTGATAGATTGGCATAACTGTCAGGCAAAAGATAAAATTGACAGTTTGTATTAAAAATACATACAACTGGGAGGAAGAGAATGGGGTTACTTCTTTAAATTGTGAATTTAGCACTCCAAACACAATACACAATTGCCTGCAGTAGTGGTTATGTTGCCAAGAGTCCATGGCACCATCCAACATTAAGATGTTGAACCACGTAATCACATGGCCCGGGAGGGTCAAATCAGCTGTGGGGGAACTATATGGGATGTCAGGTGGTCCCCCCGATCGCGATCGCTGTGGGGAATGTCAGGCAGCAGGTGAGTAAAACAGATGGTGGGGATGTTCTATGCCATCCGCTGGTCCCTTAAAAATGGCATAATAGAGTTTGCAGGAATCGATGACCTGCAAACTTTCTTTGTCCTAGGGATAAGCATAACCACCTAGCAAAGCTAGTGAGTATGTGGCAGTCTCTCAGAGAATTATTTTGCCGCGCTAAAAAACGCTTGTGCTGTGCTCCTGCACAGCAACAGCGTTTTAGCCAATCAGGTGATCAGGACAGCCGTGCAGCTCGCGGCAGCCGTGATCACCTCAGATTTATTTTAAAATCAGGATACTGCAGATGGTTAACTCATACAGAAAAAAAAAAACCCTAATGCGTCCATAGGAAAGCATTGTGAATGCTTTCCTATGAGACTCGCTGAATGAGCGCGCGCCTCTTAAAACCCTTAAAAACCGTGACATCAATACCTGCTGCAGACAGTATCCAACCCCTGATTGTGTTAACCTTAGATGGCCGAAAAGGTTTTCTGGAAGTGATAAGTAATTACGTAAAGTCTTGTCTGACTAGGGCAGAAAGATTCAAGTATTTATTTAACAAATTAACTAAACAAAAACTCGGCACAGCAGAATCCTACATCAAATCTAGTTCTACAGGACCCGGGAAAATATGTGAAGTCTTCTGTCTCTCTTTAAGGATGACATGAAATCCCCCTGGAGTTCCAAACAACCATGGTTCGACAATATTTAACTGGGTTAATTCTGAGCCTCTAGCTGCCAGAGCTAAAGCTAGACGGGATGTCAATTTAAACACCAAACCAAAGAGAAAAGGGGAGGGATATAAGTTGATTTCTCCTAAATGGGGGTTAACCCCTAGTGAAAAACTTCACCAAAAATACAAAAATATTCTCAAAAATACAGATATCATTCTCACATTGTTCCTATAGCTGCCGATTCTTTGTTATATATATATATATATATAGTTGTTTTGGTGGGTAACCGTACCAACCGTGATTTCTGTTTTTATTTAGTTTCTATTAAAAGCTAAGTTTTATTTCTGGGAATTAGAAATTTGGTAACACACTTCTCCCACTTTGTTTCTCTCCTGTGAGAGGGAAACCCACTCTATTAGGACTATTTTTATAAGTCTTTCCTATCTTTCTCCTTTTTTCTTTTTCTTTTTGTCAATTTAATCACTGTTCATCTTAGGTCAATCTGGCCATTGTCCAAAGAATTAAGGTAGTTTAATAAAAGGTCCACATCCCAAGTGTATCTCGGAGTAAAAGGCCAGCAGACTGATAGCCCTTTGAGCAGGGCCGCCATCAGAAGTTGTGGGGCCCCTAACACAGCTCAAGGTCTGGGCCCCCGGGTGCCTGCCTCCAAGCCCCACCTCCAAATCCCACCCACAGGCATACACACACACACACAGACACAAAAGGACACAGACACACACACAGAAAGATACAGACATACTAACAGACACAAATACTGAAATAGACATACACAAATATAGACACATACACATGCATAAGGAGATACAGTTACACACACACACTGACATACATACATACTCACGTACTGACACACACATACATACAGACATACACATCAATACATACTGACATACATACATACATACATACATAATGGCATACATACACATACATACTGATATACATACATACAGACATACAAACATACACACATAGATATATACATACATACATATATAATGGCATACATACACATACATACTGATATACATACAGACATACACACACACACAGAGATAGGTATATACATACACAAATACATACAGACATACTGACATACTCACACATGCATACTGACATACATACTGATAGATAGATAGATAGATACATACACACATACATAGTGACATACACACACAGACATACATACATACAGACATTCTGACATACACACACACAGACATACATGCATACTGACATACATACACACATACATACTGATAGATAGATATATACATACATACACACATACATACTGACACACACGCACAGACATATATACATGCTGACATACACACACACACATACATACTGCCATATATACATACTGACATACACACATACTGACATACACACAGACACACATACATACTGACACACACGCACAGACATATATACATACTGACATACACACACACATACATACTGACATATATACATACTGACATACACACACAGACACACATACATACTGACACACAGACATACATACATCCATACAGACATACTGACATACACACACACACAGGCATACATGCATACTGACATACATACACACATACATACATACATAGACACACACACACACAGACATACATACTGACATACTGACATATATACATACTGACACACACAGACATACATACTGACATATATACATACTGACATACACACACAGACATACATACATATGGACATACACACACACAAACGCAGACATACATGCATACTGACATACATACACACATACATACTGATAGATATATACATACATGCATACACACACACACACAGACATACATACTGGCATGTATACCTATATATATACATACTGACACACACACAGATACATACTGACATATATACATACTGACATACACAGACATACATACAGACATACTGACATACACACACAGACATACATGCATACTGACATACATACTGACATATATACATATATAGAAACTGCCACAGGTGCATCTGCACCGGGGCCCATTAGGTGGCCCAAGCATTTAGGGCCACCCGATGAGCCCTATATCTTCAGGGGCCCGGTCAGCACTACGGCCGTGTAATTGCGTGACCGGGCCCCTTTAAAAAAAATTGCGGTTACACTGCAAGTGCTGCTGGGAGGAAGTGATGGCCGCTTACTCCGCGCGGGGGGAAAGAGAGCAGAGTAGAGTATAGGAGAGGACACCAGAGGCATCCTTCAACTTAAAGGTAGGAGGAGGGTGGCTGATAAATGAGGTATGTGTGTGTGTATATGTATGTGTCTGCATGTATGTATGTCAGTATGCATGTATGTCTGTGTGTGTATGTCAGTATGTATATATGTCAGTATGTATGTCTGTGTGTGTGTCAGTATGTATATATGTCAGTACATATGTCAGTATGCATGTCAGTATGTATGTCTGTGTGTGTGTATGCATGTATGTATGTATCTATCAGTATGTATGTGTGTATGTATGTCAGTAGGCATGTATGTCTGTGTGTGTGTATGTCAGTATGTCTGTCTGTATGTATGTATGTATGTCTGTGTGTGTATGTACATTCTGTGTGTGTATGTCAGTATGTATATATATATATGTACATTAGAAGGCTCCATAAGACAGCCTTCCTTGCCAGGGACCTAGCCTCTTCATTTTCTGAGGAGGATATAGTCCCAGTTAGTAAAAGAAAAAAAAAGGCTTGCCTTTCCTCTTCAAGTTCTGAGGATGAACTTGATTTTGGTCCCTCTTCCCCTCATTCTCGTTTGAGTAGACGACATTTTAAATGGACGGTACCTCCAAAAGCGAAACGTGTGTTTTTCACTCGTTTGAGGTTTCAAAGTCGTTTTCACACAAAAAGGACATGGCTCATTTGAGTGCTGTCAGTCCCTCACCATCCACCTCAAGAGTGTTTGCTCATTCATCCTCCCTAAGCCAGTCCTGTTCCAGACAGAGATCACCAGATATTGATTGGGAGTGCAAGGAGGTGGTTCGCTCTGCAGCTTCCACTGAACGAGGGAAGTTGAGCAACATTCAGATGTCCAGAGTGAGCCTTTTCGGTAAAGTGCTCCCTTCAAAATTATTCCATTCAAGATGGGCCATCGAACAAGAATCAGAAGTCAGGGATTTCGCCAAACTAGCTTTCAGATCACTGCTAATTAAAGAGGATGATCCCCTCCTTAGAAATCATATTGGTATCCCAGACATTCATGCTGGGCCCGTGACAACTGTTATGGTTGTCACCCACTGATGGTAGCCCTGCCTTTGAGTAACCTGAGGTAAAGGGCGTCTTGGGTCAGGTTAGGGATTAGAAGATTTAATGCAGAACCATACGTCTTATTCGTACTGACTGCTAACCCTGAATTATATTTGAGCGTGAGGAATTCCAAAGCTAAGGGTTCAGATTCATGGGAAAGGGAATTAAAGGGGACTTCCCATGATTTAAATTCCTTCGATCATCTGTTTGTATCTTACCCTGGTCCTGCATAGTAATGAAGAATTAACTATGTCTAAAACCCGGTCAGACAGAAAAGGATGCGTTAAAAGCCTACATAAGTTGGGGGAGCTTGGTTAAGAGATCCCTGGTCCCTAGGAAGCAATCCACTATCCAGCCTAATGGAACCTTTGGTCGCCTGATTAGAGGTTTGATCTGGGGGTACCATGGTCTCGATGTCCAAATGGGGTACACTAAAACCAGATTGGGCACCCTATCCCTACGAAGTTTCTCTAACACCTTCATCAAAATAGATGGAGGGGGGAAAGCGTAAAGGTCGGAATGTCTGTCCATTGGAAGGACATCGCCTCCATCTTCCAAGCTGCTTTTGCCCAAGTCCTGGTTACAAAATTGGGAATCTGAGCTGAGGTCTGAGATGCAAAAAGATCTATCCATCTCTTGCCCAATCTGCTCTCTATAAGCTGAAATAAGGCACTCTTTAACTAGACTGTAGCTAGGGACAAACACCAGTTTGTTTGCCTCTCCTGGTACATGAACTGCCAAAATTGTCCTGTTGTCCGATTGAACTATTACCAACACACCTAGGGGGTTCAACGGAACAAGGCATTGGAGGGCTAATCTGATTGCTCTCAACTCTAGTAAATTTATGTGAAGATGCCTTTCTTGAACTAACCAAACTCCTCTTATCGCGCCTTGGGTAGAGAAAGCACCTTATCCCTTGGTAGAAGCATCTGTGGTTAAGGTTAACTCGAAAGGCACTTCCAGAACGGGGCGAGGAAGTGGACTTGCCCCTTCCAATATTTTGTTTAGCTCTTTTCTGACACTCGTGGGAAGGACCACCCTTGACCCCACTGGCCACCTCGTCTCAGTTGGTTTCCTAGAAACAGCTGACTTCGTCTGCACAGCAAGGGGGAAGCATCATAGCCCCTGTGTTAAAGCTATTAGCCTCCCAATAGTCTTTGCTATTTCTCTCTCACAATCTGTGTTTTAAAAGAGCACACCATCTGTGTTTTAAAAGAGCTGAAGTTAACTGAGCTAGGATTTTTTTCCATTTGTCTCAGGGGAACACCCAAGGTCATATCCATAGTGTTCAGCATGAAACCCAAAAATAGGATATTCTGAGTAGGGACTAGGATGGATTTTGGCAGATTTACAATAAACCTCAGATCCTATAATAAGGAAATTAGGTAATCTCTCTGCTGAACAAGACCATCTACCTCTGGATTCAACAGCAGGATGTTGTGTAAGAAATAAAGGCATAGAAATCCTCTTTGCCTGACGTGGGATATTATAGCTTTCATTATCATGGGATATGTGTAAGGTGCAATGGATAGGCCAAGCACCATTACAGTCCAGTGATATATATGTTCCTTCCAGCGGAATCTGAGAAAGTGCCTGTGTTTCATAGCAATAGGAACTGAATGGAAAGCATATTTGTGGTCTAATTTTATGCAGAAGACATTTTTCTGCACTAGGCCTGGGAGGTCTGTTAAACCTTCCATTCTGAATCTTTTCCTCTTTAGGAAAGCATTCAAAGCCTTGACATTTAGTATTGGTCTCCACGTGCTGTCTGATTTTGAAATAGGGAACAATGAACTGATCCAACCTGAAATTGACAAATTTGCTAATTCTATTTTTCCCTGAGCTAATGCCTGGGAAAGAGAGGAATCTAGAACTGGATTTACCTCTCTGCCCAGAGCTTGACTCTGAAAAGGAAACTGAATAAGAGTGAGTTGAAACCTCTTTTTAAAAAAAACTGAAGCACCCATTTGTCCGAGGTTATAACTGACCAATTTTAAAGGATGTGAGGTAAACCACTTAATTGACTGCATGGGTCTTCGGTTTCTTGATGAGCCACGTCTAGCATGGGCTCCTCTGCTACTGCCTCTGGGTCTTGAGTTTCCCCCATGGTGACGAAAGTGGGCTTGCTGAGTAACTTCCCAGGACAAACCTGTAGCCCTGTAGGAACGACCCTCGGTCTGAAAGGGCTTCTTGTAGTTTGGAAAGCTCTTCTTTAAATCAAAGAAAGATCTCCTAACCTTATATCATCCTTTCACCTCTTGTATAAAAGAGGGGCCAAATAGAAAGGAGTTCATAAAATTAGGGAATTTATGTGATTTAGGTGCCAAATCAGACAACCCTGCTGCCAGGGCCGGCGCTACCTGTAAGGCGGACTAGGCAGCCGCCTAGGGCGCCCCTTGGGAGGGGGCGCTGACAGAGCACCGCCCCCCATGCTGCAGCCGCCCGAGCGCTCTGTAGAGAGCCTCAGGCGGCTGCAGCTTTGCCCGGGCAGTGCGTCCATGAGGGCGGACCGCACCGCCCGGGCACAGCCTGAGGAGAGGGGCTGACAGGAGGGAAATGCTGAGCATTCCTTCCTGTCACTCCCTCTCTGTAGCGTGGCCGAGCCCTGCAGCATGATGGTCCACGGGTACAGGGAGCATCTGTCTCTTGTACCCGGCCGGACTAACAGGAAGTGCACACAAGTGTGCACTTCCTGTTAGTCCGGCCGGGTACAGGAAACAAAAGCTACCTGTACCCGCGGACTATACTGGGCTCGGCCACGCTACAACTGAGGTGGGGAGAGGGTGGGAAAGAGGAGGGAGGGAGGGAGAAGAAAACGAGGGAGGGGAGAAGAAATTGTCAGTGGAGGGAGAAGGAACTGTCAGGAGGAGGGGAAGAAGAAATTGGGAGGGAGGGGGGGAAGAAGGAACTGGGAGGGGAGGGGAGGAAGCATGAATTGTCAGGAGGGGGGGCAGAAGGAACTTCATATTGTCAGAGGGGGAGAGAAGAAACTTGGGATGAAGGGAAGAATAAACTGTCAGTGGAGCCGGGGTGGGAAGAAACTGGGAGGGGGAAGAAGGAATCATCAGGAGGGGGAAGAAGAAAACTGGGAGTGGGATGGGGAAAGCAGGGGCTGAACTGTCAGGAGGGGAGAGAATAACTGGGAGGGGAGGGGAAGAAGAAAACTGTCAGGAGGGGGGAGAAGAAACTGGGAGGGAGGGGAAAGAATCAAACTGTCAGGAGGAGGGGAAAGAAGAACCTGAGGAGGGGGGGATAGGCTGAATCAGGAGGGGAGGAAGAAACTGGCAGGAGGGGAGAAGAAACTGGTAGGAGGGGGAGAAGAAATGGGGAGGGTGGAGAAAGAAGAAATTAGTAGGAGGGGGGAGAAGAAAATGGGAGGGTGGGAGAAAAACACCTGGTAGGAGGGGAGAAGAAACGGGGAGGGGGAGAAGAAGAAATTCAGGTGGAGGGGAGAAGAAATGGGGAGGGGAGAAGAAGAAACTGGTAGGAGGGGGAGAAGAAGAAATGGGGAGGGGAGGGGGGAGAAGAAATGGGGAGGGTGGGAGAAGAAGAAGTTGGTAGGGGAGGGGGGAGAAGAAGAAATTGACAGGGGGAGAAGAAGAAATTGGTGGGGGGAGAAGAAATTGACGGGGGTGAGAGAGACAGGGGAGGTAGGGGCAATGAGTGGGAAGGGGGAGGGGAGAAGAGAGTGACAAGGGAGAGGGGGGAGAAGAGAGTGACAAGGGAGGGGGGAGAGATTGACATCCATCACACACACATGCAATGCACCCCTTGCACACAGAAAAACACACAATGCATTACACACACAGACACACACACACACACACACAAACAATGCAACCCTTACACACAATGCATCCCTTACACACACAGAAACACACAATGCACCCCTTACACACACTCAATGCACCCCTTACACACGCACACACTGCATCCTGTACATACACAGAAACACACCTTGCAGCCCTTACACCTACAAACACAGATTCACACAATGCATTCCTTACACACATATCAGGACATCCCCTACACACTCCACCCCCTGTGAACAAACTCATTGGTGGAACATGAAGGTGCACCCTGGGACCCAGACCTTGAGCTGTGTAAAGGGCCCCCAAAAAATGGAGCTGCTTAGCGTTCTAACAGAACATTGATTTTTGTGACCACAGTTACAAACAGCCTCCAGAGAGCCTGTTCTACACCAGACCAGTAGAGCCAGACTGCAGCTAGAGCCCATCATCATCCTCATCTCGTTGTAAGTAGGCAATCTAGTATATTATTCGTGGCACTAATCTCTAATTTACCTCACATTAAAGAAACACCATAGTCCCCAGAACCACTGCAGCTTAATGTAGTTGTTCTGGTGTCTATAGCCTGTCCCTGCATGCCTTATAATGTAAACACGGCGGCACTGCAGCACTGGCGTTAGTTAACATGGCAGATCATATGGGTGGAGCATTGTGATGTCACATGGGGGGGCGGCAAACTTTACTTTTGCCTAGGGCGGCAAAAATCCTTGCACCGGCCCTGCCTGCTGCATGCAGCCAGCGGGTTCTGCGAATGTTGGAAATATAGTTGAAGGATTGACCGATAATCAGCACCGCTCTGCTGGAAGCTTTTAGAAGTGCCATCTTAGGAGCCAGTAAAGCTGGTAGGGAAGGGTTATGAGAGGATCCATCCTTCTCTGCCTTATCTAACATAAGCAGAAGGGGACCAACAGCATCTGCAATTTTAAATTGTACATTGTGAAATGTCTGATCGATAGGATCTGCAGAATACTTGCTTCCTGTAATGGATAACAGTGCTGGCTCAATTTTAGGGGCCATTAGTGCCTAATTATCTGGGATACCAATATGATTTCTAAGGAGGAGATCATCCTCTTTAACTAGCGGTGATCTGAAAGCTAGTTTGGCGAAATCCCTGACTTCTGATTCTTGTTCGATGGCCCATCTTGAATGGAATAATTTTGAAGGGAGCACTTTACCGAAAAGGCTCACTCTGGACATCTGAATGTTGCTCAACTTCCCTCGTTCAGTGTTGTGTTCCTGTTGACCTCTGTTTACTTTTAAATTTATTATTATAATTTTGCAAATTCCATCATAATACGGTTCACACAAAGCAAAGCGAGAGCCAAACAATACAAGAGAAATAGAAATGTTGTTTAATTTCTACTCTTCTCTGTATGGTTTCTCTGTGCTGACTGACAGGGGAAAAGGACATAGATTATTACGAATAGTAGAAAGGACAAGCTGGTCCTTGCACTCAAGGTGTGTAGATAAGGCAGTTTTATTGGATAACACAGCAACATTTTGACCTTGTCTGAGAGTTTGATAAAGACCTCAGCTGAAGTCGAAATGCTGAGGTCGTATTCTCTAATGAAACTGCCATATTTACACACCTTGAGTGCAAGGACCAGCTTGTTCTTTCTTCTACTGACCAGGACTAGTCAGCCTCTAATACAGTTAAGCACTCTGTGAGTGCGGGAAACCCTTTGTTCTACAGTGCAATAAATTATAACATTCAATGACAGAGAAGACATCATTTATACCAATGCCTGACAGAGAGCTAAGATGGCAGCATCCAGGTACAGGATAAAGTATATAGTTATAAAGTATATAGTTAAAGTATATAGT